GTAAGGATCAAAATATATTTATAGACAGATAAAGATTTCTGAATTTTATCCGACTCAATAATCCTACGATATTCATTTACAACTGATAATATATGCTGCTAGTGGCGATGTTACCAATAATGGTTAATAAAGCAATCAACAGTAGAACCCCAGACAAAACACCAAACAATAAACCAGACAAAACACCAAACACATAAACCAGACAAAACACACCAAACAATAAACCAGACTAAACACCAGACAATAAACAAGACAAAACACCAAACAATAAACCAGACAAAACACCAATAAACCAGATAAAACACCAAACAATAAACAAGACAAAACACCAAACTATAAACCAAACAAAACACCAATAAACGAGACAAAACACCAAACAATAAACAAGACAAAACACCAAACAATAAACCAGACAAAACACCAAACTATAAACCAGACAAAACACCAAACAATTCAGACAAAACACCAAACTATAAACCAGACAAAACACCAAACAATTCAGACAAAACACCAAACAATAAATCAGACAAAACACCAAAGAATAAACCAGATAAAACACCTAACAATAAACCAGACAAAACACCAATAAACCAGACAAAACACCAAACATTAAACCAGACAAAACACCTAACAATAAACCAGACAAAACACCAAACAATAAACCAGACAAAACACCTAACAATAAACCAGACAAAACACCAATAAACCAGACAAAACACCAAACAATAAAACACCAGATAATAAAACACAGATTGACAACCTTTACTTTAGAGAAGAAAATTTAAACGTTTCGGTCCCTCCTGAACCATTGTCGGGACCGAAACGTCGCCCAATATTTTTGGTTCCAAAGTATCGTGACATTCAAGGTTAGCATATTCTTAACGACAGAGGGAGGGAGTAAGCACCAAGCCCGTATGGGGAATATATACACCGCCTAAGTAATGGGGAGATAATAAGATCTGATCAGAGAGGGGGGTAGCTCCAATTCCTCTGATCACGAGCCTTTCAGCAACCTCAAGGACTTGGCCTTACAGTGGTCAAGTTCAGCATAGTGTTTACCTACGTCTGTGTCAGTAAGAATGTACCAGGCTTATATAGAGATGTATACTCTCTGTAATAAAGTACATATGTATGCATACTGACGTATATGCATACATGTATATTAAATTCGTGGCATGTTTCCCCAGGAGTCAGTGAACTTCCCTGTGATCAGCAGCACTGCCCTGCTGATTGGCACTGTAAAGGACGTACGTGTCGGCCAGAGGTTGATGCACATGTATAGTCGCACACCAGCAGTCTTCTATTATTCCAGGGATATAGAGGTGTCCAACCAGGGCAGTTGGTGGGCACATGTGGGGTACTGGGTAGTACAGACTGGGGTTCTCTCTGGGCTGGGCACAGGGCTGTAGCAAGGCTTCTCGTGATCTCCTTGACTTCACTACTTAAAAACGGTTCATACCATGCAGACCATAGTGGTCAGCCATCATTTTGCTGCAAATACACTTGCGGAGAGTCACTGCAATACGAAAGGTTTGCGAGTCAAGACGTGTCAGTTGCAGAAATGGGAACAGGAGAAAGTCACCCAGTTGAAGTACACTCACTGCTAAAAAGCTCTCTCTCTCTCTCTCTCTCTCTCTCTCTCTCTCTCTCTCTCTCCTCTCTCTCTCTCTCTCTTCTCTCTCTCTCTCTCTCTCTATCAGCAGAGCTTGCACCTGCTAGCATAGTTTCATACCATACCACCCATTATTGTTGTCTGTCCTGCGCGTTGTACATCCATTGCTCTATCCTGTTTAAACTAATTTTTCAAACCTGCATCCTCCTCGTATAATAGTTTTAGTATCCATTACTGGCATTCCTATTTGGATTCCATTTTTTCTCTTATTTACACTTCTTATTTATTTATTTATTTATTTATTTTTTTTTTGGGGGGGGGGGGTCTCATATTGTGACTTAATTAAGACTGTTTACAATCTGAGGTATCCCCCTAGCACTTAAATGGTCATCCTATTTTGCTCCAGGCTTTCTAAATGTCCAAACTACCTCAACAACTCTTCCTCATCTCTAGGAATTACACTTTTGGTAATCCCAAACCGTGTTCTAATTTCTACATTCCGAATGCTCAGCATAATATTCACACCACACATTGCTCTCAAACATGACATCTCCATTGCATCTAGCCGCCGCCTCACTGCAGTGTTCAAAATCCAAACCTAGCACCCATATGAAAGTGTAGGTACCACTATACTCTGGTACATTTTCCATTTTGCCTCCATAGACATACTTTCTCTCTTCACAGACACCTTAACCCGCCATCGACCCATAATTTCTTTATTCTACGATTCACTTCATCTTTCACAAACCCATCTGCCGACATGTTCACTCAAATATCTGAGTACATTCACTTCCTCCACACTCCCTCTCTCTAACCTGACAGCCAGTTTCTTCTCTCTCATTAACTTGCTCTTTCCAATTTTTAATTTCCTTCTTTCGCACAACCTTACACGACTATCCTTCAGAATCTTCCAAAACAACTAATATCGGTAAAGAGCATCAGTGACAACTCTCACTTTGTATCAGATTCAATATCTTTTTAATCCCACACTTCTTCCCAGCACCCCAGCATTTTTTTTACCTCATCTATATACATATTAACCAAAAATAGCGGCAGCATACATCCTTGTCTAGGATAACTATTTTCCAGTAAAAGTAGGCCTTAGATTCTTGTTATCTTTCCATAAATTTTCTGGGGTACCACCCACATGTTACTTGATCTCCTTCGCTATAAATGGTTAAGATATGTACTCTTATCTCAAGGCTGAGGACGAGGCGAGATTATTATATATATATATATATATATATATATATATATATATATATATATATATATATATATATATATATATATATATTTACCAAACTGCGGCAGGCTAGGACTCGACCCTATGAACCTTGTGCCGCCTCCAGAGACAGCACAATGTACGCATCACCTGGAGGGGGCACAAGGTTCGAAGGATCGAGTCCTGGCCTGCCGCAGTTTGGTAAATGATTTAAAATCACTTGTTTCGTGATTTCTTTGCTGATGTGTATATATATATATATATATATATATATATATATATATATATATATATATATATATATATATATATATATATATATGTGTGGTGTTGTGTGTGTGTGTGTGTGGTGTGTGTGGTGGTGTGTGTGTGTGTGTGTGTGTGTTGTGTGTGTGTGTGTGGTGGGTGTGTGTGTTGGTGTGTTGTGTTGTGTGTGTGGTGTGTGTGTGTGTGGTGGTGTGTGGTGTGGTGTGTGTGTGGTGTTGGGTGTGTGTGTGGTGTGTGTGGGTGGTGTGTGTGTGTGTGTGTGTGGTGTGTTGTGTGTGGTGTGTGTGGTGGTGTGTGTGTGTGTGGTGTGTGTGTGTGTGGTGTGTGTTGTGGTGTGTGTGTGTGTGTGTGTGTGTGTGGTGTGTGTGGTGTGTGTGTGGTGTGGTGTGTGTGTGGGTGTGGTGTGTGTGTGGTGTGTGTGGTGGTGTTGGTGTGTGTGTGTGTGTGTGTGTGGTGTGTGTGTGTGTGTGTGTGTGGGTGTGGTGTGTGTGGTTTGTGTGGTGTGTGTGTGGTGTGTGTGTGTGTGGTGTGTGTGTGTGTGTGTGTGTTGTGTGTGTGTGTGTGTGGGTGTGTGGTGTGTGTGTGTGTGTGTGGTGTGGTGTGTTGGTGTGGTGTGTGTGTGTGTGTGTGTGTGTGTGTGTGTGTGTGTGTGTGTGTGTGTGGTGTGTGTGTGGTGTGTGTGTGTGTGGTGTGTGTGTGTGGTGTGTGTTGTGTGGTGTGTGGTGTGTGTGTGTGTGTGTGTGTGTGGTGTGTGTGTGGTGTGTGTGTGGTGTGTGTGTGGTGTGTGTGTGGTGTGTGTGTGGTGTGTGTGGTGGTGTGTGTGTGTGTGTGTGTGGTGTGTGTGTGTGTGTGTGTGTGTGTGTGTGTGTGGTGTGTGTGTGTGTGTGGTGGTGTCTCACGTGCCGAATAGGTAAAACTTGGGATTTTGGCTTAAATAGCAACGCTCTTCTTGCCGAATAAGGCAAGCGAAAATTTGTGTATGCAGTAATTTCGCAAAAATCATTCTGAACCTAACGAATAAAATATATTTCATTGTGTTTCTTTTTAAATTATTGTAAACTTATCTAAAATATATTTAGTTGGGCAAGGCTATAATAAGGTTAGGTAACTTTTCTAAGGATTCCAAGGTACAAAATTATTAATTTTCAAATTAACACAAATGAAATATATATATCTTTAAACGTATAAGAGAAAACTTAAAAAAGGACTTAATTTTAAACGAGTTCCTGCTAATTGACCAGTTTTTACCTATTCGGCACGACATACATTACATTATATATATATATATAAGTATATATATATATATATATATATATATATATATATATATATATATATATATATATATATATATATATATATATATATACATGTATATATATAATCACTATCAAATAAGTATGAAAATGTGAGAAATCACGAAAGCGCTTGGAATTTCACTATTTTTTTTCACAGTGGTCATTCTGCATAAGCATAATAATGATAATAAATTTCCTGGTTTAACCTTCGGAGCTTCTAGTACTTGAGCAGGTGAAGGATCCATGTCAGGGACACCTACTGTACGAGTGATCTTAAGTACACTGTGTGAAGTTTCCTGCAGGACTCCTTGATTCAGTTCCTGAATTCTTTTCCAAGGTTTGCTCATTTTGCATATACTGCCAAAGTTACACGGTTCAATGCTTTTGGTATATTTTGTGATGCTGACTTCCAGATCCTTTCTACTGTGTTACAGATTTACCTCTGTGGATTTAGTTCTTCTCGGGGTCTGTTTTTTCCTTCTGTTTACATGATTCTTGCAGTTGAAGTTTAACTCTAGTAGCCACTTAGCTGACCACTCCTTCACCCTGTCCAGGTTTCCCCGGAGCCTGTCTCTATCCTCCCATGTTTCCTCTCTCT